GGTCCTATTATGCTATGATCTCACAGTCACACTGTATACTAGTCCAACAACAGATGTGGTATGTCTGCACTCAGATACTGGCAGCAACAGCCCGACCGGTTGGTGGTTTGACTGGTTAGCAGAGGGGGTAAACAGATTTATAGGACCAATTCTGTTGTCAAGCAACATTAATAAAAACCTGACCTGCCCCAGACTCAGCAAAACCATCTGGAGTCACAGATAGATGATGCAGGTACAAACATACCTGTACCACGCCAACTCTTCAGTTTCTAAAACCAAGCTACCCACGCACCCTGGAGTAAGCTAGGTGTTTGCCAAACCACAAGATTATGAAACCAGGAGCAGCACAGGACGAGCAGCAGCAGTTTACACTTGTAATTTCTCTTTGCTCCTCTGTGTCTGTTGGTGCCTCTGTACTTTTGGGGTATAAGTTCTTCAGAAGACAGAACAGGGTTTTCTCTTAAAGTCTTATGTAGTGACTAAGGAGGGGGAGGGCTCTGGCCTCTCACCTGTGTTTTTAGGTGTTACGGTAATTCAAATGCTATGTAATAACAACAACTACAAGCTCCAAGAGACTTTCAGAGCAGGGAATTAATTCTATCTGTTCAACTAATGTACTTCTGTGAGAAAAGCATCTATTCTTTAACTGAAACCCTTAGGAGATACTGGATGTGCCATTTCTCTTGGCAGCATATTCCAACCGTTAATGTCTTCCACTGTTAAAAAATGTATGTAATTTCTAATTCGAATTTGTTTGATTTCATTGTATAGGTATTTTTCTTGTGACGCCTCTCACTGTGCAAGATTAAAGATCACCGTAGCCACCTTCCCAGTCTTCCTTTCAATAAGCCAAACAGATTGTACTCTTTAAACCTCTCCAAACAAAGAATTTTCTCCAGCCTCAAATAATTTCTCAGCATTCTTTTGTCAGCAAGGACACCAGAGGCTAGCACAGTATTACCACAAAAATCTCCCCAATGCCATATGTAGAAGGAAAACAAAGTCTCTTCCCACTTGCCACATCCCTGGTTATATAGTCAAGGATCCCATTATTTGCTTATACTGTAACATTAGAACAGAAATTAATTTTTGCTGTCCTGGCCACTGTCAACTCTTAACTTCTTTTTAGTCGCTGCTCTCTACAACACAGGCCCTCATCTCTGCAGACGTGACCCATTCACTCTATTTTTAAGTAACTCTACTTATGCCTTATAGTAAAACACATTGTATCTGAATGGGATGAATTTACCAAACAATAGGGATCTTATGATAACCCCAGCCTGAATTTAATTTCCCATTTAGCTACTCTCTTTCTCTTCACAGCACATTGGTTTTGCTTTCTCATTGCTAAAAATACTAATGCATTTATTTGTTTTTGTCAGTATTAGGATCCTTGTACTCTCCCACCAGCTTTCCTGAGCAACTCCACCCTTCAGAGCTGCTGTTCAGTGGATCCCACCTACCAGTTTCCTGAATTATCTGTTGTCTTACCCTACAGCCAGGGTCTGTATCTACTGCCCTCCTTCCTCAGCCCCAACAGGATCACGAACTCCATTCCTCAGTCGCTACAGCCCAGGCTTTGATAACCAAGGCATTGATTAATGCATCCCCAAGTTCTTCCTTGTTAGTGAAGAGCAGATCCTGCTGCGAATCACCCCTGGTTGGCCCAGCCAGTATCAAGAAGTTATCTGTGATGCCCTTCAGAAATCTTGACTGCCTGCATTCTGATGTGTGGTGCTTGTAGCAGATGTCAGGCAGGCTGAAATTCCCCCCAAGCCCAGGGTCTGCGATCAAGAGACTTCCTTGCTGAAGTTCTCCTCAGCAGGTTGGCCGGCCAGTTGGCAAAGATGCTCTTGTCGCATTTTGTCAGGTGGATCTTGTCTTTCCCCAGTGACACAAGATATGACTGATATCTGTCCTCAGCCCGGGTTAGTTACCATACTGATCTATATGCATTACAGCGACTCCGTCACCGCTTTCAAAGCTCCGTCTCCTCCAGCGTACACAAACACATGCACAATCCTGGTCCACCCACCCTTTTTCCTTAGCTGGTCAAACACCTGGGATAATTAATTTGTGAATAATGTCAACCACCCCAAGGGGCTTAATGACGACAATTAAGTGATAATTTCCAATTGTTTTACTCGTTTCCTCATATTTTACCTCATTTTAATCGCCAATGGTATAGAAAGTGTTCCTGTATTTCCCCTCATTCTATGCAGCATGAGTTGTTTGCTCAGAACACAGCACCTCAGTTTAGATGGCATTTAAAAAAAATATCAGTTTCTCTGTCTGTTACTAATTTAGCATCTTCCCAGCTGCTCTGCGTAGTCTCCAGCCACGATTAGCCCACACCTGTCAGATGCAGGCCAGCACTGCCGTACATCCCCCACTCTTTTTGAAATGTGGTCCAATACTCCACAGTATCTAAATTTTCCCTTGGAACTACCGACAGAAGAGAACTTCACACTATGTATATTTTGCCTTCTTTCTCTAATTTATGGGCAGGCAGAAACTTAAAAGCAATCTCTGACTTTCCATTTGAGCACCTTTCAAGACTCCTGCAGTTTTCTATGGCCTGCACGGTTCCACTTGATGCCACATAATTGGTTCCAAACGGAATTATCTCCCAGATAATCTTACAAGCTTCTGCAACAGCGCAATTGCTTTTTATGTTATTGCTTCGGGGAGATGGCACGCTGTCATATTTTCTTCATGTCATTTTTTGAAGACTCCGTCCACTCTGGATTGTACCGGGGTATCTCTTGTAGCATGTCTGATTAATACTGTAAGGAACAATATTACAGACGTATCTTGCAGCGTTGTATTTCAGTAGATGAACTGTTGGGTATCTGAAGGTTTGACACTTCTAGCCGGCCAAATATCCATTCTTGCTTTTTTTTGCGCATAAATGGCCAATCCTTTTGTTTCTATTCTTTCTCATTCTCCTGATGCTGTCCTCCCCCATGGTTTCTGTGGCAACAGTTTCTGTATGTAGTCATCCAAGAGGCATTCATTTTCTCAGATACTATACTTTTGAAACATACACTTCTAGACCACAGATATTATATAAAATAATTGCTTGAGGATACTTCAGGTTGCAATAGAGTTCAGTTATAAGACTTTCTAAAGTCATATTCTTTATGTTTCAGCTGAAGGAAAATTTACTGTTTCCATTAATTTAGTTGCTAAAGAATATTTACTTCTGAAGATCACAGAAAGTATCATGATTAGATGTTACAGATATTAAAATGTCTTGTTTGCAGTGAAAGGATGCATTTATGTTCTAGGCCTTATGGACATAGACACTATTCTGTGTCTATGCCCATAGATGAGCATCTTGATCTGCTAGAAGTTTCCCATATATGAAAAAAAGGACAGGGTTGACATAGTGCTTAGTGACATGGTTTAGTGATGGTTTTTATCAGAGTTAGGTTGATAGTTGGACTAGATGACCTTAAAGGTCCCTTCCAACCTAGACAATTCCATATCAAGCGTTAAAACAGGCTGCTGAGGGAAGTGGTGGTATTTAAAAGATGGTAGCAACAAGGTTTTGTGGTGGGCTTGGCACTGTTAGGTTAATGGTTGGGCTCAATGATCTTAAAGGTCTTTTCCAACCTAAATGATTCTATGATTCTGTATCTTAGCTAGCTTCATGCTTCTTTAATACAAATATCAACATGTTTAACAAGTCATCCAGATCTTCATTATAGTCTGCAGTCAAGTGGCACATCTAGATGATTCAACTAATTCCCAAGTAGACAGCTCAAGAAGTTGATATAAATGACTACCCTAGAGATCAGCTTTATTTTCCAAGATGGCTGGGGCTGGAGTATGCAAATCCCAGACTCGCAGGAACCAAAGAGCTGGCAGTCTAGGGACAAAGCAAGAAAAAGAAGCAAGGAATTCATAGGTGCGTGCCTCCCCGCACCCCCCTATTCCTGGGAACGACCCTAGCGGAATGGCTTTGACAACTGCTGTTCAGATGTCAGAAGCCACTTTGAAGTTAGCTTGGCATTAGAGAGATTAAGTTGATAGGAGGCAAAAGTTCTCTTAGTTCTATTTTTTATTTTGCTTTTATCATTTGGCTATGTCTTTTCCCTCTCCTCACCTCCTCAGACTGCAAAGGAACTCTTTTCCTGGAAGCAGCTCAGTGTTTGCATAAAGGAAATACCAACTTTCTCCTCTCCCTCTGCCCAGCTCCCACTGCCAGCGCCTGCCCATTAGATTTCAGCTCTGGGGCTGCAGAAGGGAAAAAAAAAGGGAAACTAAAGCCAGGGTGCTGATGGCAGCCACAGAGGACTCAGCCAGCCACCACCAAGTTTGTAGAACCATAGAATGGTTTGGGTTGGAAGGGACCTTTAAGATCATCAAGTTCCAACCCCGCTGCCATGGGCAGGGACACCTCCCACCAGACCAGGTTGCTCAAAGCCCCCTCCAGCCTGGCCTTGAACACTTCCAGGGATGGGGCATCCACAACTTCTCTGGGCAACCTGTTCCAGTGTCTCACCACCCTCACACTAAAGAACTTCTTCCTAATATCTAATCTAAATCTACCCAGTTTCAGTTTAAAACTACTACCCCACATCCAATCCCTACACTCCCTGATGAAGAGTCCCTCCCCATCTCTCCTGCAGGATCCCCTCAGGCCGCTGGAAGGTCTCCCCGGAGCCTTCTCTTCTCCGGGCTGAACAACCCCGACTCTCTCAGCCTGTCCTCCCAGCAGAGGTGCTCCAGCCCTCTCATCATCTTCCTGGCCCTCCGCTGGACCCCTTCCAACAGGTCCCTGTCCTTGTCCCGAGCCCTCCCGAACCCCTCACGGACCCCAGCGGGGCTCTCTATGCTATAGCACGAGGCCCGGGCTGAGGGGCGCAAAGCCCCGCCCCCTCCGCGCCGCGCACGCGCGTTTGGCGGCGCCGGGGGAGGCGGTGGAAGGGGGCGGAGCCAGGGCCCGGAGGGGAGCCGGCCGGGGGGCGGGGCGGGG